TCTCACGATCCCAAAAAACTCCAAACTATTTATGAATAGTAATTATTCCAAAGCTTGAATTTTCTCCGATGAAACAAAGAAATCACACCGATATAAGGAACAACTGACTAGTATGATTTGATAAGAATATTACACTTTAGCATGTAAAAGAAAATAACACAGAACATGCTGATTGGAACTAGTTTACAATGAGAAGGAATATCTCATTTAAACAAGGTGTTCTTACGGGCGAGAACTTGGCAAGGCACAACAGTGAAGAACACTGGACTCCACAGATGACGAAAAACAGTTCAGTCCTTGACGGTGCAAAAGTGAGCTGCAACGGGGACGAAGACTGCGTCCAATAAGAATGGCCAGGCTCGAGACGAAACGGCGAGGGCGTGATGACCGTCGCAAATATACGGCGGCTTGCTGACCCACAAACGGGAACAAAATTCAGCCCCGCACTTCACTTGGTCCAGACCGAACTTCTCTTACAAGTGTCGCTCCACAGACGCGACTCGCCACCACAGGTTGAAATGGCGCAGAAGTCAACTTAAAGTCAAAAGACTTCTCACGTATGGTAGAACTACCTTCCCGCAAAAGCTCTCTTGCGGTGCGTGTGCCTCTCTCTTTTTCCCGTTTTTGGTAGTCTTCCAGAAATTCCTTCTCATTACGTAAGTTTCTTTAAAAAGACTTTTGGCATTACTTAATCTTACAAGAAACATCCAGAACATACACTAGACAACTAGAAATATCGTCAGCTTACAAGAAATTTCCGGGACAGAGAATATTTTGGACTATAGTGAGGTCATTCACCAGGCCTGGGATCAAACACGAGTCACACACAGAGTTGTCTGGTACCATTACATTATCTGTAACATGTACAGAGACCGCGTCCATGTATACATGTACCTAACAATTTTTCTATACATGTAGTTAATCGTGTTTCATTGGCCATAAGTTTGATATCGGTACTCGCGTTACAAAAATAGCATGGCCGATACTCAAGAGTGTCCCTCAGGCTTTTCGAACTTAAATCGAATGCTGTCAAGTGTCAAAATGTCCTCGCTATATAATTTCCTCAAACGTTTCTGTAAACCAAATACAAATATTCTTCTTTTGTAAACATTATATACTGACCAATCCATACATTTTAAAATTACACATGCATTTGAAAATATGATTCAATTGCTTTGCTTTCTGTCCTCAGTAGACTTGTCGACAAATGATCAATTTCCCGCAGAATACAGGGCGCCCTAGGACGATAGATATTGAGCATACGAAGATCAGACGGCCTTCACTGTGGTTGAGGGATGAACCAAAACCTGAAGCCGTGTGGTTTGCAGCTATCCCAGCTTAAGGGATTCTTGAGATCATTTGCTGTTATTGACCTTTGAACAATTGGGGATTTTTCGTTTGATTTGGGTTTGTTCAGCTTTTCCATGCTCGTTCTGTTTTTTTGTTTTTTTTGTGAGGGGGGAGGGTCGACAAGCCCGCTGGGCCACAGAGTGATAAACCATTCACAAAAAGGGCGTCAGTTGCAACGCATTCAGGAAGGAGTAACCCAAGAAGATTAACACAACATACAAGTGGGAGATATTTTTCCTTTTTTGTTTTTGAAAATAAATGTATCAAATTTCTGTGAGCGAACGAAAATCGTAGTTAACACAAATAAAAAGGTATTTCTATCAATAAAATAAGGAGACGAGTAGCACCATACTGTGCCATCCCCGGATCTGTTACTGTTGAACCATCAATTATGAAACATTCCACAGAAACGCCATTGCTTTGGATTTTGAGATCAGAACACTCATGATAGAAGAAATGGACCCGAACACGGTTGAGATCGGTTTTATTGTCGATGAACATGTAGGGAATAAGATTACACATGAAAATAAATCCTCATCAATACTCACTGTAATCATACCTAGAAAATGCCTTCTGGATTTCACGCCTAGCAAAATAAAAAAAAAAAAAATGTCGTGTGGGAAAAAAATCCAAAAGTTATGCGGTGT